TTCTCCAGATGGGTTCGTGTTTTAGAGACTTGAACTTCAACAGAACAGCGGTTTCTAAGGCATCCATGGTCAAGTTCCCGGACCTGCCCAAAACAAGCTATCAGAGTTGGAATACTTTGACCAATAAGAATAGAAACATTGGCCTAATGCAGCCTTTTGGCTTGGTTCATTAGTTTTGGAATCAAGTGGGGTGTAAATAACTCCTCCCATATGGATAGAAAATGAGATTTGTGAGTTCCTTATAAGTTCTAAGTTATGGGCTACCAATAAATTCCACCATGGTTCTAAATTCATTTGGAGGTTATTGGGTCAGCCTGTTGCTTTGGGCTATGAGGTGATACAAATGGTATCAAAGCTGATATTTGTACCATCGGAATGGTGATGCAAACCTCATCGAGCATGATGAGTCCCTAATGGGGTGTTTGTAACATTTCTGATGATCGCGATGAACAAGGAGGACGTCAGGAATTCAAGCAAGAGAATTTGCGACCCATCCCATGTGGATAGAAAATTATATCTATGTGCTTCTTATAAGCTCAAAGTTGTGGGCTACCAACGACTTCCACCATAGTTTTAAGTTGATTTGGAGATTATTGGGTCCGCTTACTGCTTTGGGTTATCAGGGTTTGTTTAGTTTGTAGTCCAGGAAAAGTGAACCAAACAACCATTTACAGTCCGAACTGGGTGTGTGAATTTGGGGAATCGCATTAGGTAGGCTGGTATTTTTCATATAAAATGCTAACACAAATGGGGTAAAATTTTACCTTAGAAAAACAGACTCCATGTTGAACCTCCCTCTTTCTCTTACATAGATGTGGTATACAGTTTCAGAGCCCCTTCTACATTTGCAAGGTCGCTTTGGAAATACAGAACTTTTCTCTTCTTTCTCATGGATTCTTGTTGCAAGAAAGATGCATAAACGGCAAGATGAATGAACAGCAGCCATATCTACAAGGGCCATGAAAGAATCAGAAGGCCCATCATATTTCCATCTGTAAAAATTAAGCAGAATAAGTGTGGTCATAATTATATCGATTCACCATGAGTATACAATTGAAAACATTCGCAGTTACTCAGGATGTATTATTCCCAAATTGATTCTTTTATGTTATATTAGTTCCGGACCATTACAGAAATGCCCGATAAATAAATCTTTGTGGTTGATCATCATTAAGGTAGAAAACAGAAAAAAGACTTGCCTTAGTGATTCGTTGTAGGCAACAGGATTCTCTGCAAGATGTTTCATGGTCTTGGCAACCGAGTCAATATCTTTTAGTTCCTTGATATGTAAAATGGAACCAGGTGCAGGAGCAAAATCTTGGATATTTGGAGCACCGACAACAACAGGAACAGATCCTGCAAAATTACAATGTAGCTTTCGTTTATTATGAGTTGAGCGCATTAAAAAAGGTTGGCTTTTATATATGCATGCAAAGATGAGTTAAGAGAAGATAAATAATAACCCACAAGAAGAAAATCAATAGAAGAAACTGCAAAGCGAGATCAAGATATTGCAAAGAAAACAATATCTCATACCTGCAACAAGGGACTGAAAGAACTTTTCAGTGACATAATCTTCCTCATTGGAATTTTCAAAAGCCAAACTAAATTTGTAACGCTTCAGAGCTTCAACCTTGTTCACTGCAAAGACAGTAAAAAGATGTTGGTGTTGAAACTTTGTATCCAAATGAGTTTCAATGAGGAAACAGAAAATACAGAATTGAAGTTTTATAATAAATAAAGACCAACATATTGATCAATAGATATTTGCAGGAAAAAAATTCTATGCTACCATTTCCATCACGATTTCGGTGACAACCACCGTAAGAATCAATCTTGATGTTCGACTTTTCAAGTCCTTCAAGTGCTTGTAAGCGGAAATTGCGAGCAGCACAGTTTGAAATGAATGCAGCTGCCAACGCTTTCTCAGTTTTTGGCTGAACAGGGGCCATCATATCATACTCTGCCCATGAAAAATAACCAACAGGGACATCTGAGGAGAGACTGGTTGTCATAATGATGTTGTACCCTTTTCTGAAAGATGATAAATCGTCAGAAATGTCTTTATTACGTTTCTAAGTTATTTTCATGGACAATTATCTAAAGCAAGAAGGTAACATTTTGCATACAAGTATAAATCAAATGATCCAACACATTAACTATTAACCATCATGGAGAATGCCACTTCAGGATGGCCTAAAGATAGTGTCAGACCCTCCGGTGACACCAATACTCCAGGGACAGTTATGATCACAATAATGACTCAATTACTTACATGTACCCTGGTACTTTCAAGCATACATTCAAATGAAAAATCATAAAATGCGGTGACTAATAAGCAAATATATATCAATTTTTATAGTCAAACATGTTGGCTATGATGGAGGCAAAGTTCCAATGGTGAAGATCTGAAGATTACAACAAAAAGCGGGAATCTTCCTATATCCTGTTGTGGTACATATAAATGCATATGCAATGAAAGTTTGTATGTATTACGATTAGTGTAAGATGTGTATTAGTGTATGATGTGTCCCATCACATCATAAACTGAACGCAGAAATATTTGTCTAACGAGAAATCCAAACGCAACCTTCAATGTCTCTATGTTATTGATCCCATAAGATTCATAATCAAAGCAGGTACACTGATCAATGAGAGATTCACTCACGCCTCTCATGCATAACATAGTAATCCATTTTGCTCCAGTAGTAGACTTGTCCTCTACCCAAGAAACTGAGAAGGTAGAGCGGTTATTTTCGTGAAGAACCCCTGCTTGAAAAAAGTGTGTGCAAAAAAGAAAGCTTGCCCAATTCAGCACGGGTCTTCTCCTCTAACTTAAACAAAAACAACTTTGACTTGTATTCAGACCAAGAGTGTAACTCTTGACGAAGAGAAGATGAAATAAGGTACAAAGAAGGAAAAACTAAAATAAATTAAACAAAACAGCACAAAATACAGCATGAGATATATAGATGATCAACTATACTCCAACATCAAGGTATAATTTGTCATTTTACACTCACAGCATGTCTTACTCTTCAACCTGCTAGTGCTTTTTTTGAAGCAGAAATGTGAGGGTTCATCCTTGAGCTATGTCAGACCCACCATAATAAAAAGCCAATCTTGTCCTTGTCACTTAATTGAAGAAACTTAAATTCACCACATTTAGGGTGTGATATGTGTACGAAAGAATATGCCATATTATTAGAATCAAAAGACAAACAAATAGATGTGCAACAATGCTTTTCTCGATGACGATGAGTAATCCATAACTTAAGATAAAACAACTCCAATCCTTTTTAAATTGCCATCCAACTATAGCAACTATTTAGAACACAATCAAGACTATGTCCAAGGTCTGTTCCTTCAAGACAGTTACTTAAGATATATCCTCGAAAAAGCTACTTGACGATCATAAGTACTAGTAAAATTGGTTGTCTTCGTATCAGTTACCTTATCTAGTTACCAGGACTATTTCTTGTGATGGCCGTTTCCCTTTTTCTCACTTTAGCTTTTCCACCTTTTTTTCCTTTTCACTAGAGGCATAGTAAATAAATATTCACCAAGAAGGCCAGTAGAGCACACAAAGCGCTTTAATCATATATACAGCAAGAATTAACTAAAGTAGCATCCATATACACCCTCATAACCATTCACTTGTCCTTGTATGGACATGTGCATATAATGCAAATGTGCATGGAAACCAAGAAACATTTTCAATTACTTTTATTCACATGTGCATGCCTGTCAAATGAATGGTTATTAGGGTGTTCCTCCGTTTGTCATTTTTTTGTGGTTTTCCCCTTAACCCGAGTCTCTCTCTCTACATATATCTATATATCTATCTATCTATCTATCTATCTATCTATCTATATATATGTGTGTGTGTGTGTGTATAAACTATGAGGTTGAAGCAAATGTCGTTGTAAATTTGTGATACGACTATATGACGGGTTATCTCAGATCGTGCTTACCCACCGTCGTGCCATAGCAATGTTGTTCTCAGCATAGTATTGAGCAGATTCCATCGACCGAAGAACACCAGCTGTACCAGCTTGATTAGGCAACCCAAACGCAGCATCAGCCTTCTTATTGTCAAAGCCAAACTTGCATTCAACATCACAAGACTTCCACTCCTTCAGGAAACCAAGGTCAAGTGTTTGACTTAAAGCATATCCATGATAACATATATGTATAACAGTATAAGACTAATGTTATTTATATGCAAGCTTCTAAACAATTTCCAAGCATCTTTGGGCACCACTAATTTGTAAACAAATTTCAAATGATCTCAATACCGCTGGGTCATGAAAGTTCCAAAATCAGCTTTAAAGCTTAAACTGTAAGATTCAAAAATTAGATACCTAACAAAACATAAACAGATTTTAACCTGCAAAGAACGAAGATTTTTGGATACTACTTCTACCAGATTGACTTTCAGTAACAAACATGAAACTTGGCAAAGTAAACTAATACTGCAACTAAAAATGTACACAAATGACAAACCAACTTGAACATGAAAAGTCAAATAAATGCCTCTTCTTGTTGTTGCAAATTGAACAAGGGCAAGCTTTTATACCAATTCGAATTCAAAATCGAATAATTATAGTACTCATCACACATTGCACGCTGTATTATCAACCGATACCAATCATAATCTAAATGAGCAATAGAAGTCTTTCAAATGTTAAGGTACCTCTAATTTAATTACTATCGTTCCACCATCAAGCTGACATTTCTAATTTTCTACCGATATCATAACGTCCATTCCACATTGATTGGGTTTGTGGATTGTGGGCGTTTATAAGCCCTTGGCAATGAGCTACCACTTTGGTTTGCTGCTATGTGTCTCAGGAACTAATAATAGTATCCCAGTGGTTTGATCCAGGAAGCAGGGGTATACCTCTCGCCGAATCCCCATATCGAATGCTTTAAGGGTGCAGTTCTTTGGGATCCGGCAGGGTCCACACCCCATGCGGAGTTAACCATATCCTTGAATAACTAACCATGAATTCACAGGGATACACGGATGACATCATGACACAAGAAGTTTTTTTCCTGATAGTTTGAACAGATGTAGAGACACTCAAGAAAAGCAAAAACATGACAAGACTTGAATTTTAGTCTTTATCTTACATAGTCACGTATTTAACTTATAAATCATTGAATAACTTCTTTCTATTATGGGTTCGGTTTTGATTTGCATACACACACACATAAACTTACACATGTACACACATAAACCCACCCCTGAATCATCAATTTTTGAGAATCTCCCAATTCTGATATTCATGTATCACACACTCATATCCCTGTATCCTTTGCGACAAAGAGTTTTGAAACTCTAAATTGTGTTTCATCCTTGCTCAGTGGTTATGGGGATGATGGTTTCATGTTTCTATTTAGGTCTGACAAGGACATCAACAATTTAATTGGTGAGTTTTAAGCATCCGCCTCATAGTGATTATGAATTTATGATTGTGAGCTGTGTGAACCTTTAAAGTCATTAGGAGTGGGTTACCAATAACTTCTCAGCTTGATCTGCGTTTTATGGAGAACATTGGGGTACTTTAGGACGCTAGTGTATCTGAATACGTCCAACAGTTGAAGGTATTGGTAACCCACTATTAAAGGCTTCTAAGTGGTTCCAGATTCACAAACTCACAATCACAAACAATAGAGAACACAATTGTACAAATCTCCCCACTTTAATGTCTAACATTCTAGTGATCCCATATAGAAATTTTATTGAATCTTAGAACAATCAACTTCAGGAGATGAATGAGCCTAATATAATGAATCTTGATGGACGGTCTTTTTAATTCTACATACTGCCCAAGCCCAGACCAATAGGCCAGTTACCTCCAAACATCTAAAACCAATACGGGGAGTATTTGTTGCGAACTATCAATGGTGGTACAGAGTCACCATTCATAACCATAACTGATTTGGGATGACATGTTACAATTTACAAGTAAAACCAAGCCAAAGTAAATGAGCCAAGTATACCCCATCCGGAGGTGGGGTCTTGGGGGGTTAAGATGTAAGTCTACTCCAAGGAGTAGAGCGGTTGTTTCCATGAAGACCAGGGAATTGTGAAAATTGTGCGGAAAAGAGAAAGTTTGCCAAGAAATGTTCTTTTGAGGAAATAGGAAACAAGGAAGAAGATGCGAAAGAGAAGAACTCGAGACAAGGAGAGCGAGTTAGGAGTAAGCAACACAAAACAATAGAAGTAGGTACAAGAAAACATAGCCAATGTTGGAAAAACCAAACACCCATTCCAGCTTAGCATTATGGTAACATAACTACTAGCTCACTAACCTTACCCTTACCCCTACCCCCAACCTCTACCCCTCTCCGACTCCCATCTAAGCTAGCTATAGACCTCTACCCCTGGTCTGCTATGCTATTCCTGCATTTCCAATAACTTCCATCAAATGTCATGTCCTTAAAAATGCCTAAATCCGGCGCCATGTCCAACTTCGATTTCTCATCCCATGTCCTCCTTGGCCTACCCCCCATCCTCGATTCCTCGCCTCTCGACCATCACACTTTCCATCCTCTTCACCGGAGCCACCATCTAACTCCTAAGGACGTGACAAAATCACCTATCTTCCCTCTTTCAACTTATTCAAGATGTACACAAATCCCCAACACCATCCCAAAAACCTCATATGTCATCCTACCAGACCTGGTCCGGCCACCACTACATCTAAGCATTATTGCAACACTCTGACCCAAAGTTAGGTTATATAGGGAACTTCACCTTAAGAATTTCTTACTTTTAAACACGGATTACCAATAATCTCTTAGTATTATTCAGACAATAAGATCACAAGCCTGAACCTTAGAAGTTAGCAGCCATTACCAAAAGAACACAAAAAATGAAAATCATATGTCCGAATTATAACAAGTTAAGAAGCAGTGAGAAACATAAAGAATGGAGTAATAGAAAAGAAAAACGAACCTGCTCCGCACCAGTGACATATACAGGGTGTTTTTCAAAGTCCCTGGAATACACCACAGAATCTTCTCTTTCCAACCACTCCTCACAACTCTCTCCACCATCGTCGGAACCCACCACATCCAAGCCGGCCCCCGACAACCCCAACATTGAGACCTCATCGGCATCATCAAGAGAAGAGGAAGAAAAGGAAGTCGTCGTAAACTGGTAGAATGATTCAGTCCAGGAGTTGAGGAGATCAGTATTCTTAATCAAGTCGAGTCGACCCAAAAAACTGATCTCGGCTATAAAAACTAGGACTAAGAATAGAGGCAAAAGATTGGACCATTTCTTTCTTGAATTATGCATATTGATTGATGATGGTGAATTTGATGCACTGCTGCTGCTGCTACTGGTTAAATGAGGATCCAATTGAGTGCCTCGTGATGATCGTTGATTAGGGTTCAATAAACCCATATTAGAGTTAATAATCAAAAACCTTGAAATGAATCTGCAGTCTGCAGAGGTAGGTGAGAAGTAGAAAGCAAAGATAGAAGAAGGAAATTTGGGGTAAGAACTGAACAAAGTCCACGCTTTGAATCTTTGTTGACCTAAAAGATGAGGCCACCTTCGTAGCCTTAAACGGCACGCCAATTACTTGACTATTCATTATGTCTAAAGCCTTTTATCAAATTAATAAAATGTTATTATCATTAACTTTTTTATAGTATTGGGTAACCTTTAAAATTAATTTTATTCATTATACCAACTTTCTTTGTCATCTAATCGTCGATATAGGTTGTTTACATATACGATAGTACTGATATGACGTTTCTTATTATAGCATTGTATTTTATGTAACATCACCAATTTCTGTTATAGCATTGTATTTTTAATTTTAATATTTTTATTATTTAAATATTATAGATTTAATCAGATATGTTTACTAAAAATTATAATCATAAATTAAACATGTCAAACTTTTTTGTAAACCAAAAGTATGAAATTTATACTGATTATAAACTCCAAGATTTAGGGGGTGTTTGGGATTGCTTATTTAAAACAACTTATGTTTTTTTGTAAAAGTGTTTATTAACTTATGTGGTATCAAACCGGAGTTTTGTAAAAAGTGTTTGGATTAGCTTATAGCGGTACCAAACTGCAATAAGCTGATAAGTTGTTTTTTAGTGTTTGGCAAATTTTGTTTATATCTGTAAAATGACTAAAAAAGACAGTCTTCCATATTATTGACTTACGAGAGTGTTTGGAATTGCTTATTAACTTATTTGATTTTTTAACATGTAAAAAATTATTTTTCATCATTTATAATATATTTGAGAAAAATTTATATTAATAAGATTAATAATTTATATCAATAAAATTAATAATTAACAAATATTTATACCAATACCATTAATAATTCAAGACAAAAATAATTAATATGCACAACAAAAGAATATTAGATGGACTGCTTGAGGATGATGAGATATATGTGTGTGAGGAGAAAGGGATATTGATGAATCTGTGTGATGAGATATATGTAGGACGATGAAGGGTGAGGGATATTGATGAATCTGTGTGAGGAGGAAGGGATATTGAGATGAGACGTATCTGATGTTGATATTGGATAAATTAAACAGGGTTAAAATGGTAAATCGGTGATAAGTTGTTTTTCATAAGTCACGATGAATTAACTTATCAAAAACTGCTTATTACCGGTTTGGCATCGGTATAAGTTGTTTTTTTATTTTTTACCCAAACACTCTAAAACAGCTTATCTCCGGTGCCAAACTGAAATAAGTTAAAAAGCACTTCTTATAAGCAATCCCAAACACCCCCTTATAATTACAATACAATTGAATTTATAAAAGCAACGGAAACTAGAATTAAATATTATCTTAAACTTAAAAAAAGAAACCAAAGTTAAATATAATTTCAAAGAAACAAAGTTATAATATTATTATATCTAAAAATAATTAATACTGAACTTATTTTGAAAGTATTGACAAGACGATCATAATAATATAATTTGTAGAAAAAACATATTTTTGTATTTTAGTTAATATATGATTATGTATCTTAATATGATAAAGGTGTAAAATGAAAACTAAAAGTAAATTATATAAAAACAAATTAATTAAATAATTGTAAGATATAAAATGTAAATTTTAAATGTATTTATGTTATTTTAATAATATGATTAAATCCAAAAATATTCAATATTTGGTTCATTTTGGACGTATTGGTGAGACGATTATAATGATATAATGTGTAAAAAAGAAACTTATCTTTAATGTATTTTAGTCAATGTACAATTACTTATGTTAATATAATAACGGTGCAAAATGAAAAAGTAAAGGTGATAAAGTAAACTAAATAACTAACCATAAGGGTGCAAAGTGTAATTTAAAAATAAAAAATAATTTGTTTTTAACATCAAGTATAGTACTAGGGGTGTGAACAAAGTCAACTGATCAAATAGGAAACGACTGATCTAATTAGAATCGATCGTTCATAATTAGATATCTAATTGCATCTGGATCAAATCGATTAAAATTTTCAACATCTAATTTGGATCAGTTGATTCTTATATGGCAGTCCAGAACGATCAAAACCGATAGAAATCAAACAGACCAACATCCAATTACCCATCCAGTTATTATCCACTTAATTTGTTTGTGATTTGCTTAAATCTGAATTTGTTTTGTGTTGGTTTTTGAACTTTTAATCTCACATGTGTTGGTTTTACCACATATTAAAAGTGATTAATCAATTTGTTTTATTGTTAGAAAATTAGATTAAATTAACACATTGAATGGATCCGATCTAATCATCCATTGGATGTCGGATGGATTCAATGAATATCCAATAAGAATATCCGATGGATATCCAATCCGATGCAATCGATATTCCATAAGAATATCCAATGAATGGAACTAAACCGATCCAGTCATCTATTGGATTGGATACGATCACTTGTCCAATGTCAATCTGATTGGATTGTTGACAAAATCCAACATCCAATGAATGATTGGATCAGTTCGGTTTCCCTCACATCCAATTAATACCGATAAATAAGCCTACATAATACCTGTTTTTTGTACCTCTTAAAATTCAAGAGTTTAGTGTGCTTTACAATATATACTAAAGATATACACTGCATCCAAATATTACAAAACATACAAACTCATCTAGACCGTCCTTTTTTTTATCAACGGTTGGTGCGAATTGAAGGGAATTTTAGATTTGAAACGAAGAATAATTAAGAAAATGGTAGTTTTAAATATTTTAAATTTGAATTTTAATCAATAATTAGATGATTATTTTGTTTTCGATTATAAATATTCCACGACTATCTACTCACTCTTACCTTACGAAGCAGATACAATTCAGATATCATCATCAGATATGTCATTGGTTAAAAAAACTCAATATATTATTTCATAAGTTAAACAACATCAATAGGAAATTAGATAACAATAAATTCATTGTTTCTATGAGAACCAATAAACAATTTGGTTTCATATGAGGAACAAAACGGTCAAATGTTAAAAAGTTGATGTGTTGTTTCATAAGTGAAACAATACTCCATAAAATTATGGTAACAAAAACTGTAATATTTCATATGATAACCCATAATTTGGATGGTTTATAAAAGAAAAGTACTGTTTATACAGGGGTCTTCTTTTGACATCCGTGCAATTTGTGAGATCCACGAGATTTAATACAAAGCTACAAATCATATTAAATTAAAGGTTAAATTAGAAAATTAGTAATTTTGAATAAACATCGTGAACAATTAATTGATCTTTGATGAAATTTGAACATCCATTAAGTATCTTCGGTGGACCCATAATAAAAAATCTATAGAATCACTGATGTGAATCGATATCAGATATATTGTTTCAATTAAACATCATGAACACGATGTGACACAACACCACCAAAAACAAAAACAAAAACAAAAGATCCTTAAAAACATTATGTAACGACTTTTGATACACGTTGTGAACAATTAATTGATCTTTGATGAAGTGGTTATGGATTTTCTTATTTATGATAGCTATGAATATTCTATTTAGGGGGGTAAATTAATTAAATACATTTATGAGTTTTTAATTACTGAATTACCTTTTATATTTATTTAATGAATAACATAATTATCTGAAATGAATGACTCACTTTGATCTCACAATTTCTAGGGTTTTCATTTGATTAAGCTTGTATACACATATACACACATAACTGCCACAAAGATGAAACGTCGCATGATTTAACCATCTCCAACCCAACCACTAAAAATAGAACACTAAAATCACTAAAAATGATGGGTCCATTCAATATTGAAAACCAACTTCAATCACACACTAAAAAAAATATTTTTAATATGATGACAATAATAATAAAATAATATATTTATTTATCATTATACTATTTTATTAAGACATAATAATTATAAATATATAAATAATAAATAATTCTCAGCTGATTTCAAAATAATTTATTTAGAAACATCTTTAAGATTAAAATGACAAATTTCAATTAGTAAATATTACATTCCAAAAAAAATTTAAATTTTTTTTTATTACCGGTTTGGCACCGATATAAATTGTTTATCCAAATACTCAAACTTGGTGACTTTCCTCGACGAAAACCCAATTCACCCACTATGTCTTCTCTGTTGATAACCTTTCTGTGACCAACAATTGTTGCCATTCCCGCCTCCCCAACTCATAAATTAGTGGTGTTTCATTGAAACTATAACTTTTTATATGCACCTTGACACGTGTTACACAATAATAGTGCCTAGATGTATGTAAACCTATAAGGTCACACACAAAGAATACGTATGCTTGGATATGGTTATTGGATAACAAGGCACACGAGTTATTTCATGTTGATTATTAAATAGTTATTCTAACATAATAACTAAAGTACATGTTAAAAGTGTAATTATGATAATCACAGGGTTTTATGTGTAAATGTATCTACTATGACCCTGTTTGTTTTTACAAAAAAATCACTTAATACCCTCTTATGTCTGAATCGGTCAGACCTTAGGGTATTAAGTGTGTTTGTTTTTTTTTTCCAATTAAGAGCTTAAAAGCTCTGATTATGTCTGAATTGTTTAGAACTAACATTTTCACTTAAAAGCTCTTATTATTGCGTCGCTACCCTCTCAAGCTCTCGCCGACCGTAACCTCTCCATCGCTGCGTCTTCTACCTCTCGATCTCTCTCTCTCTCAAGCTCTCGCCGACCGTCTTCTACCTCTCGATCTCTCTCTCAAGCTCTCGCCTACCGTCTTGTACCTCTCCATCGCTCGATTTAAGGTATCCATCTCGATCTCTCAAGCTCTCAATCTCTCGATTTTCTTTCTCCTTGCTTGGTTTCTGTTTTGCCTGGTTCAAAAAATGGTTTAGGGTTTACCTCCTATAAGGGGTTTTTGTATGTGAACCCCACGGTTGAAATCCTATAAGGGGTTTTTTATGTACATAAACTGACCTAACTTTATGGCCAATTTATGATCAGGAAGTGACGAGGTTACATAGTTCGGAA